GAAGGGTATGATTGGAAGAGCAGTTAATTCGTTTTCCGTACTCATGGCAAGAGGAGGATAAGAAATGAAGAGCAGTTAGTGTGTTTTTCGAGCTTACCTGTGACTTTCACTAGCGCCACGGTCGCACGGCTCAAGCTTTGTGCTCCAATCGCTATGGAGCGCGCGCCCTTCGCGCCCGACGCACTCGTCCAGGGCTGCTGGGGTGACGTCTGTGTTCAAGGTGTTCCCAAGGTTTTTTCCGCTTCTTTTTCTTCTGAGAAGCTACCTATGGGATACTGGTTCATGACAGAGCCCAACTACCCGCAACACTTGATCGCGGGAATTGTCTTTAAGGAATGAATTGAATACATAACAAGACGTTATTGGTAAGGAAAAAGAACTGGACCGAATGGAGAAGTAAATGTACCTTTCATGGGCACACCAACATTATTTCTTATACTAACGACAATATTAGCCACCGGTGTCTCAGACTTTTGCACTACTTTAGAGCTCTTAGCGTTGTCTGATCTCTAGGATAGGAGAATTTCCAAAAAGCATAGGCAAGAGTAACGTTTTTGTTCATTTCCTGATAAAGTTTCGACTGTGTCTCTACTATCCTGATCACGAATATGGCATTCGTTTTCAAAGCTACCGCCAATTGGCACTATTAGCGCATTCTTCTCGCCATCGTTCTACTTTGGACATATGTTGGATGTTAGGGTTACCAGATGTTTTAATAACGACTATGGCATTCACTGTTGAAAGCATCTGGTGCTAGGGAGCAGACAATTTTGCGTCGCACCTTCTTCGCCTTGACGCTTCATGTGACATGGCATCAAAAATGAATGGACGGCTATCAGGCTGGACGAAAATTCCTGCGACACTTCGGACAGAAATAGGGACACATCTTTTTGAACGAGAGTCCACAGGGTAATCTCCTTTAACAACTACAACGACTGCCCGTTTTCCGAGCAGTTTCTCCATTCCATTCTTTTAGAACTATGGCAACTGCGATGAGAAGTCGTCAGTCACGTCCAATAGACTCTGATTTTCTGAATCATGATCTTCCGGCGTGGCCTCAACGCCAGTACATTCTTCGCATTACCGAAGTTTAGAAAGAGATTGTTTCCAAATCAAGTCAAGCCCGAATTCATCCATGCCGTTAATTAGACTATGACCACCACTTTTGTGTCAGTAACCAACTAAATCACTTTGAACTCCGAGCCATAACACACTGAGAGCTCCTTTTCATACACATCAGCTTCTAGCTAATCAGGTAACTTCAGTATGGCACTTACGCGGATGGTTAAGAATAAGGAATACAGATCCCCCTACCGACGACAGTGTCTGCCGAAATGTCACAATGGAGAGAAAAAAAATTGAGCAATGACCACTTCATTCGCCTTGTCAGACTGGCACATTTTTTATAGTGCCCATTGCGAAAAGTTTTGGCGAAGACCACTTTGGGGAGGCACCTCGTTATTCGTCATGTAGGTGCAACCTAGAATATGTCGCCAACTTATTGTTAAATTCTGCTATGTTTCCAAGAACTGAATAATTCGATCGTCATCCTGCGCTGCTGGTCGACCAGTACCACCAATGACCAACGTATTAGGTTGGCGGGAAAGTTCTGTCACATTTTTTCAAACTAGGCTTTCTTTTTATAGAGAGGAGTGTAAGATCAAAATTGTACAGCAATGTAACTGCGGGGTCCTTGCCACTGTTTGAGCACCTCATGGATGCCATCGCTTCACTATGCAGGGAGACACGACGCAAAGTTGGACACCATCTCAACCTCGACTTGAACTTGGGTTATGGAGGTTTTCTCGTCCGCATAACGATCGATTACGGAAGGCAACTTGCTATTAGAAGGGGCGATGTCTGTGCTACACAAGTGCAAGGGGAGAGAGATCAAGCTCCATTGCATGAGGTACGGCTCGAACTTTTTTGGACCAAGTGCGTTGCACTCTCTTGGTGAGGGCCGGCTGTGCGGACAAATTTTTCCCTCTGATCCACGATACGCCTTAGATCTCGTAGCTGCTTTGCGTACGCCTTGACCAAGGAAGCAGCTTCTTCATCCAGCAGTTTCCCGACCCATAGCTCCCTCAAGCTTGCAGGTAACCCAAACCTCACTTCGTCATCAAAACTGTAGGCTCCCTAGGCTCCCGCCTTGAAGAGTCACTGTCGTGGTAAGGTTGCTCGATGGTTGGGGGCATCGTGCTTATTCAGCTCCATCAATTTGGCATCTGCAGCTAACACGCTGGCGTCAGGGTGGTAGGTGAAATAGTTTGTGGAAGTTGTTGGATGGGTCGGGGCTGATGGTAGCGGATAAAATCCTTGTGCATATTGCAGAAGAAGGAGCAAGAGGCAAGCGAGTGGTACTAACAGAGAGACCACTCCTTGTTGTACAAGAGCTTACATTACCGGATTACCCCTCTTGCTAAGCAAGTAATTTGAGTTCGAAAATAAGTGACAAAACTTTCCCGCCAACCTAATACTTCCAAATAAATCCAGCTTGCAAGCGCTGATACCAACGGGACACCGTGGCGTGGCTAGCGATATCCTTTTTTTGAAGGAAACGTAGGTGTTGCCCCTCTCGACTAGGGAGGGCGGAGTGACCCTACAGGAATCCATAAGATAGAATAGCTCCAGAAGTAACTAGAGGATTCTAAGGTCTGGAAGCTTCCACAAATCCATAACGCACTAGTTTGCACAAACCTCAGGGCACAGCCTCAAGTAATCAGAGGTAGAAACAGTTGGAACCCTTTTTTTGACTTTCTTCAACTAGAACAAGTTGATCGGAAGGCTGCAGGACTTTTCGTCCAACCTGACATATTCACATACAGGACATCCAATTCCGCTCGAGCACGATTTCAGGCCGGTTCTGGTGAAAATGGCGGTAGTGTCAAACAGGCGCTTTGAGTGGCAGAAGCGAACGTCATACTCGTGATAATGGTTTTCACAGGCGGAGCTCCAGCAAAGAAAAAAAAACAATCTGTTTGCAATTTTTTGTTGAATAACATCGTCAACGTGGATTCAGTCAATTTCTCTGCACACTTAACGACTTTCCGAGACTCATGAAATAAATTCTGCAACCACTTTTTGCATGGAAAGGTGATTTTCTATTTGCAACGATTCTTAGTTGGCTTATGATAACGCAATTTTCCACAACACAGTATGTTTCAGTGCTAAATGTAGGTATACTTCTTGTATCGTCGAAAACACTTCTCGAGGGGCCGAAATTAAAAATGAAAAAAATAACTTAGAGTGCATGTATAGCAGGAAACGGTAGGATACTGAGACAGATACTCGGAGGAAATCTTCTTAAGAAATCTCGTTCCATGGTAACATGTTGCTTATTGATTTTTTTACGCGACGAATTTGAAGGTGCTTAACTGCAGGATTGGGTCATGCTCGACTGACAAATTTTTAGCGTTTCGTCCTATTTCGAACTGATTCCGGTTACGTAAGACATGCAGCGTCGAAACGCACGTATCTACGCTTTAGCGATAGTTTTTTTTTCAAAACTTCCTCCTCCCTCACACCAAGTTTCGCCGGAATTTCGACCCCTGGAGTAGTACGGCACTCCGGACACGAATGTCGCATTGGTTTGGTTCGCAATCACGTGACACCAGGATACAGCGCTTGCGTCAAAACATCGATAAGTTAAAAACTTGTTGCGAGGGAATATTTGACCCGCTGAAGGCGAAAATTGCTTGGCGCGACAACGCTACGTGCACCCGCTACTAGCATCAGTGCAAAAACACAGTTTCGACGCCAGTATTTGGGACCCGAGTGCCACGCGTTGTCGCTTCATTTGTGCGGTGTTCATGCCAGAATATCCCCTTCCGTGTCGGACAAGCTGCGGCCTGATCTTCAAATTACAGTCAATGAGACGCATGATTTCTAAAATGTAGAGCAGAAAAGAGCATTGCCCCCATTTCTTCACGGCCATTCCAATTCACAGTCATAAAGAACTAAACTCAGAGCAACATCTTCGAGGAAGGTTTCTCACCCCCCCCCCCAGAAACGTCTAATGCGACCCTTGTCGCGGAAAGGTATACAACTGTAGCGTGAAAACACCGAAAACGACCAATAACCAAGAACTAAGAGAAAAACGTTTTCCCTATGCACAGTGCAGTAGATGGTTTACATCTACTGCATAAGAACATTTCCCGTTGCGTTATGATAAAGGATAAAGTCTCCCGGCGTTGATCAATCCCTTTTGAGAAGCGGCACGCGTTCGCGACGTGGCCTAAAAATTCTTGCGGGTGCCAACCGATGTACAAATCGATGTTTTTATCCTCCCAGACCAATCTGATACAATTCACCTTCCCTGAAGGGTAGAAGGGTTGCTTGGCCCGGGCAGGAGTGGACCCGGGATGCAAACCTAGGATCGCGTGAGTCATAAGCGCGCCATTTGTCATTACACCACCGCCGCCCCATGCTTTATAATCCATGAGAATAAGGAAAAAAATCTGCTATTGTAGCAACTGCTCCAGAACAGAATGTAGCAGCATTTTATCAAAGTTCCCTTCGTAGTTGTTCTACTACGTCTACTGCCTTTTTCTTGTACTGCAAGACTCTGCGCTTATCTAGCCATTCGCAGCATTTACCCGGGGCAAGCTCTCAGTGGCTTCAACACCCACAGTACCAATGAACAGGTGCATCCCTTTTCAGAATAAGGATAATGTCATTGAGATAACAGCCGGAATATGTCACACCTACCGATACATAAAATTGTCCGCTTCTTTTTTAGCACCAATAAGCTGCACAACTGCATAGAAAACTTGCTGCCCATGGTCGAATTTCTCTTGTTTTTCTGAAAAGACACAATTTCTGATGAGAATGAATGCTGTGCTATCGGACGCTATTGTGCAGATTGAGTCACCCACCCAGTACAAGCATGAAGTTGTACCCAAAGCAACTTTGCATCATGACCCAATCGACAGCTCCAGGTAAATTGATATCCGTTGCAAGGAACACGATATCCTCTCCTGAAAAAAGCGAACGTGCAGATAATATGCACCTTAGAAACAATAACATTCTCTCTCTTATACAAATGGGTGCAATCCACCACATCCGAGGTGCAGCATCGCGAGCAAACGAGCAGAAGATTTTACACCATAGAGGAACTGGGTCCAAGGGAGAATGATACCATTTCCGATGCCTCTTTCACCGCGCCTCGGACATGCCCGTAGATCCTCCCTCCCTTCCGAGAGGTTTTGCACAGCGGTGATGCGAGCGAACCAGCCCTTATCACCGCTATGCCAAACCCATCGGAAGTGATGGAAGGGAGGGGATGTATTTGGCGTTTGGAGAATTTTCCCATTATTGAAACCCCACGTTTCACATGCGCTATATGGGGCCGGGTGGCAGGACAAAAGCACTGCTCAGGTAGTCAATCAGAAGTGTCCACCCCACCCCATCTCTGCCCGATGGGCAAATTTTTGGGGAAATTGGCAAACTGATCGTGAGAGGGGGCTGTATTGACATCGCCACTTCAACCCGATGACGTACCCCGTGCTTGAACTACACCCACAGATGTAGCGAATTTCGAGTAGAAATGAGTATCCAATGCACGGTTCAGTTAGCCGCCACGAGTTCCAGAAGGACAGAAGTTCGATAAAGCGTTGCGGGAAAACCTAACTTTTCGAGCCGTTTGAAGGGCACGTGATAAAAGGACACTCGAAAAAGTAAAATGCACAAAAACAAGCTATACCTTGCAAAGTGGTGATACTTTTGTGTACTTTCTTGAGGTGATCCATGACGTCATTCAAAGCTCCCTGCCACTTACAAGCAGCCCCAGGACAAGGACAACTGTAAGGGCTGAAACAGAAGAAGATGAAGGCAAATGCACCTGCTTCACTTTTTATAGTGCTGCTCTGACTCCAAATGTACAAGAAACACACCGGCATTCACAAGTTTCTTCGTGCTCGACTTTGTCGAAGTGATAGAAGAAAAGTGGACAACCGGATGAGGCAAATTTGCAAGGGAAGCGTACGGTGTTGGCTATTTTTTCAAGACCAAGATTACGAACGCTGGCTGGAAATGTGATCATTGATATCGATAAATAAAAAAAACTAGGTAAGAAGAAAGTAGGCCTCACGTGTTGGTCCTCGGCAAGTCGGACAACACTGCAGTTTTGGGCGACAATTACCGCAAACAAGGTGACCAGCTTGACACTGTAGATATGGCGGAAGCATGTATTCCAGACAGACAGGACATTCAAAAACAGAGAGCACCTAAAGGTTAAAATGGTTGATTCCATGCGCTTAATCATGAAGTCACTAATCAGCGCGACCGCAACGTGAAAACAACCTTTATCAAATGAACAAACCTCTGCGCTGCTATCAGTATGCTCAGTAGCGCCGATTGTTGCAATCTGTGGGGCTACGCTCTGAGTTGACAAAGAAGATGGAGAACAAGTCACTACTGGAACTGCAGAACAGATATATTAACCTGTTTATCAACAAGGTTATCATCTAGCGAAAATCCCATTACCTGGAGGAGCTGTTGCTTGAACGCGTGCGAGATTCTTCTGATGTGGAGCTGCCACGCCGTGATTTGGTGCAGTGGGACCCATGAATTGCGACGGCGGTGATCCAGAACGACTACCGCTACGGTCAGTCGCTGTGGTGCTGGTTGTGGTAATAGAGTTTGGGCCACATAGTGCTGTTGCTGATGACGAGCCCGATGAGGATACCGCTGCCGACGGTACCTTAACGCGTAAGAGCATATGAGATCCGAAACAAGGATGGGATTAAAGTTAGCTAGTAATAGGATGGCAGGAAGGTCATCGAAAAAAAATTTGGAGATAAATTTGTAGACAAAGCGGATATTTTAGCAAGTATGGGACTCGCTGGAACATACTCGCAATTAGGCTGCGTTCATACTTTGCGCCGCACGCCAGCGCTTCGAGCGTACGCCACTACCAGTGACTATAGGTACCGATTAGCGATTTAGCGTACGCCAGCGTACAGCTCGTTTTCGCGGGCAGTTTGAGCATGAGCAGAAGAAAACGCTGCTGTACGCTAGCATACGCTAAATCGGTATCTATACTTTCCCAGCCGCTGCGCTGGCACACGCTTGAAATGCTGCTGTACGCTACGCAAAGTGTGAACACAGATATCAATACATAAGTATATAAGGACATACACCCCGCCTAATCAAAAGTGCTTTTTTTGCAAATGTGATGAACGTGACAGCTTGCTACTCCTTGATAACAACCAAAAACCCCGTTCAACTCCTCCACAGCGTCAGAGCACCATAAAACGGACGATTCAAAGCGCGATATAGTGCAGATGCTTCTCCTCAAATTCTATGGGACATTAAAAGGACTCGATCCCTTGTGATGGTACAGGAATGAAGGGCAGGACTGTCAGCCGCCATTTTACATGCGATACAATTCTGCAGTTGTCCGATTCCAATTTGAGAACTTCCAAGGCGATTAGAGGTGTGCTACTGCGCCCAGCGTGCCCCCCCCCCTTCGGACACTCCTCAAAAATCACAGAGCTCAGCTGGCATTCGGGTCTCACTGGTATTCCCCAGGCAATGCGGTTTCCGTTTTCAATGAGCTCCCTCGCTAAGGCATCACTTGCGAGAAAGACGGTTCAATATTTATGATGACATTTGATGACAATGAGGGTTCTTTTCTTTTTGTTTTCGAAACACAGACTCCTAACTTTTCGGTTAAATCATTGGTGCAAAAGGCACCAGTGATTTAACCGAGAGCGGTGAAAGACTATTGAACTTTTTGGTGAACATATCGTTAACATTTTATGTATATGAAAAAAATTGCGGATGAGTTCAAAGATGTTCATATTTTGTCGAATACCCCTCTGCCAACCCAACAGCTATGTAAAGGTGCACGTGATATGTTTAGAATCTCATATGAAAACGTTGTTTGCTGGGCCGTTAAACAAGACCAAACGTCTTATTAACAAAAGTAAAAAGTGATGACTTCACAGATAAGCACTTCCTTCTGTTTCCAGAAGCAATATTATAAAGGTTACGCATTTTGAAGGCTTGTTTTTACCGTAAGTTAATTACATTTTCCATTTTACAAATCAGTTATTCAACTCAGAGGAGAGAAAGGAGCAGTACTGAAAACTGACGCTAGCCCCATATACCGACCCATTTCGATGTAGTTCTGTGTGAAGTGCTGTAAAGCCACGAAGTGTAAGGGGTTTCACTTTAACGCCCATGCCTTGACTCTTTTTGAAGCTAATCGGCGTCTAGCGCTGCAAAAGAAAGCCTGCGAAGAAACGGCTATTCGCCGGAGGATGAGAAGTTGCCCAAGGCTCAAGGGGGAAGGGGCTGCTAAGTAGACGGGCCGTCCAACTACTTCGAGCAAAACCCTTCTTTCGTAATAGTTGAGAAGTGAATGGAAGAAGATTTCCTGAAAACGAAGACATACCACCGGATTAGAAGCTTCTCATATGCCGCGTAATTATGCAGGCTATAAATAGCCACTGTTAAAACACGTACATCATTAGTTACTTGACTACTGGGTTGACCCATAGAAGATGGCGCTTTTTTCTACACTAAATTTTGTATGGGACGCGTGGATTTTTGTCCAATGTGTCCAAATTGGTTTGATAGATAAGTCTGCACTCTGTGCAGTTCGCTTGGCTTTCATTTGCTATTGTTGTCATCTTTCGGATTATCAAAACGGAGTGTCGGGACGTTAAAAATTAGCGTTTTTGACACCAACTTCTTGCACTCAATCTAGGCTCTCAAACTGCAGAAGTACCTTAAACACTGTACTGACCAAAGAAATGGAAACCAGGCAACGACGCATCGCAGGACGGTTCGATGTTGGTTAAAGAGGTTGAGAGATGGGAACTTGCAACTTGCACCTGTGCATCCCATGAAGCGTCCTTTCGAGGAGCAATTGCCGGCAGAACCCATCCTCCACGTTCTGACCCTCTTCCGCTGAGTGGATGTGATGCTCAATGAGAATGTGGCAGCATTCTGTGGTCTCCAGTTATTCCACATTCTGTGGCACGAAACTCCGTGATCAAACCGGTTCAGTAAGCTCCCGATCAAACTCTATAGGGCATCAGGTGTGATGCTTGTCTGTGAGGTCGAAATCGGAATTCTTGAACCATTTGGATGGTTTTGGGCCTTCCTGTCGTAGTTTCCAGGCCATATACTAATCAGCCTCTGCGGGTTCAGCTTTTTAGTCGAACAAGACAAAAGAGAGGGTGCGAAAAATTCTCAATCTTGTCAACTTGACACTCTACTTCGACTGCTTAGAAATCCAGTGGAACAGTAGAAAAAATACGTCATCAATTATGGGCCCACAGATAAATTATCCCACCTACCTCTATAGTTTCTAGATCCAAGCCTACAAGCTCAAGTGGAGTCATTAACAAGAGAACACATAAAATTGAAGTGAAATAGCGAAAACTGTTGCCACACCGCTACCGGAACCGAAGTAAAACTCTTCACATAATTTGTGGCATTATCAAAACTCAATGTTTTATTTTGTGCAATATGTTGTGAATTTTGTTGCAAAAAAAAACGGTCGCAGAAGCAATATTACTATGTCAGGGGTAAAGAAGTCAGTTACCTGGCCGTGGTTGTTGCTACTCATCAACGCAACAAAGACAGCGTGCTGGAAAGCCCGCCAGCGCAGATGTTACTGCAAGGCTGTGTTCCTGGAAGAAATAATTAGAGCGAAGTATTAAAAACGACCACGAGTACAACACACGAAACCGGATGTTTTAAAAAAAACTAAATGTATGACCAGGCCATGGCTGTCCTCCTTCAACATGCTTCGGTAGTACTCCTATGAGCCGCGTTTGCGACAGTGAAGTGACAGAAGAATCGAAAAAATGGGAAAAATGCAGAATCAAAGAAATGGCTGAAAGATTAGAATACGTACTTTCGATCTGAAGAAATGCAGAAATGCAGAATTGAAGAAGTCGCAGGAATGGAACGATATGTATCTAATCCTTTTCGTCAATTCTGCATTTCTTCAATTCGTCAATTGTTCACGGTCGCAAGCTATGAACGAGGCCTTAAAACTGATAATAAAAACTGCGCTAGCCCAATACACGAGTGATTTTGCAAACGTCTGCAGATTCCGCGGTAAGTGACCATTCTTCCCAAAAAGTCAAAATCACGTTTCGCAAAAGGAAATCGGTTCCCACACACAAGTTTCTTGGGGCACATCATCGTTGGGGGTTCCCTAACAGGGCGAGTATTTGGTCGGCGGGGGAGGGCGGTCTGAGAGCACTCTTTTCATAATCGATTTTCCTTATTTTATGGACACTAGTAAGGGGGGGGGAAGGGGGTAGTATTTGGTTATTGCTGGGAAGGAGAGGGAGGGGTCGTATCTGCCCACTCAATACCCAGGGGGAGGGGTTGTACGGACGGGACCAAAATCCCCAACCATGTTCCATGTTGGTTCAACATGCTCCCAGCGGGCATGTCATAAATAATAATAGTAATAATAATAATAAAAACTAAAGGTGTGCCCTGAGTTCCTCACCCTCAAGGGCATTAATCCTCGTCCCCCGTCTCACTAGCTGCACAAAATCTTGTCCGGAAAAAAACCATGCAATAGCGAAAAATAAAGCCCGGTAATTCCACAAGATTTTACAGGTTGTATCGGAATGATGAAGTATGCCTTCAAGACTTTATAAAATGACCCGCTTATTGGACTAGTGTCATAAAAGCTTCACGATCACATTTTCCAGCCAACTACCCGACGCTCGGAGAAGCAGAACAAAAAGTAGTAGGAACTGGAAAAAAATCGATGATACATTGCGTGGAAGCGGAACTACAAAGCGAACGGGATGAGAAGTAAATATGTATACAGAATGTTATTTAGCTTGAAATCAAGACTGTTCAATACATTTATTAGGCCGACGTTCGACAGCGTCACTATCTTCAGAGCCTAGTAAAACGAAAGATACCGGGTTCAGAATATGAGAAATGACTTGAATTATAAACCCAGCACGAGTACAAATCGCACTCTTGAATAGACGAAATAACCGAGTTCAGGTCCAGTTCAAGACGAGAAATAAACTCCCAAAAACGGATCGTTAGAGTCTTGACGGCTTATGAAGAACATTGAAGTTGTAGGAAATGAGTTCCAAAGCAGTAACACTCATGGTGGTAAAGATCAATGAGACAACGCCTCGTGAGAAAGCGGTTTTCCAAGGCGAACTACCTCGCCGCTCACCTCCAGCGCACGCGAGCAGCTCGCGTGCGACAGGTGGCTAGACATCACGCAGATAGAACAGTCACGAGGGAGGCGCAGATGTGAAAGGAGCGCAAAGAGTATGAAGAGAAGGAGAGTTCGGACATGGAACGCTCAGCTGACTGCCGCCGTCGCCGCGGCTGCATCGATTTGTAATACGCTCGCTCGTTGCACGCAAATGAAACCCGCAACCTGGCGCAGCTACCACGGTTCCGGTGCGCCCGGTCCGTGACGTCATCAGCGCCCTGATCGACCCATCGGGTACGATCATGAGCAGGGCACGTACTGTCGTTGGGGAAAAAGCTTAGCAAAGCACGACCCCTCTCAAGATCCCCTCTGACGCGACGCCAGTCCCTATCCTGCGTATCATCAGTGCACATCATCGCTGGGAATTCCCCAACAGGAGAAGGTCGTGATTGGTCCGAAAATTTCTTTTGTTAGTTGGTTTCTCTGGTATTGCGGACGTTATAAAGGGAGGGGGTTGGTATGTGGTCGCTGTTGAGGAGGAGGAGGGGATATGATAT